AACTGCAGTTTAACACCTTTTTAAGTGATTTCTACTTGGATATACTATATATGTTACTTGCACTTTTTTCAAATCAATATTAAACCTTCTTTTTGAAAATTTAGTTTTGAGTTTTAGAATTTTATACTATTCCAATTAACAAACATTAAAAAATATGCACTTTGATTAATAGAGATTCTAGAGGAGAAAGGAAAGCTTATTAAAAAGATCTGTACTTGGGAACGTTTATGGATGCCGTTGGTTTTTCTGCTAATATGCTGCCAATCATTTGAATTTGACTTTTATTTCAGTGACTTAAAAATACACATGAATTAAGAAAATTAAGCAATTTGACTAAAAGTTCATACTATTTTTTCACCAAAAGGAAATGTTCAGGATAAGTATAAGGAAGAAAAAACTGCCCTTACAGAAGAGAGAAAATAAAATCTTAAATTCATAACTTTATGCAGGATTGCCTATAGCAAAAGACAATACTGGGACTTTATGCTTTACAGCTGCAAAAATAATTACATGAGCATTATCTAAGCAACAATCTTTAATGGATTACATTTTGTGAGCTTTTCATTATATGCTGTAAAAGCCCAAATAACCTAATTAATGGGAAAAAAAAACACTTGATTTTTCTGAGTTAGACCTTTGATATTTTTGTGAGACATTTTATTATTCATTGGTTTATTTGAGATTATGANCCCTAATTAATGGGAAAAAAAAAAAACACTTGATTTTTCTGAGTTAGACCTTTGATATTTTTGTGAGACATTTTATTATTCATTGGTTTATTTGAGATTATGATCTCAATTTGTAAATAAGATATAGTATTACAATCTTGGTTTTAAGCTTACTGCATAGAAAAATTGTGCAATTTATTTACTTTTATTTGAAAAGTGTTTTACTTTTGGGTGTTTCAAGGGTGTTAAAACTTTTCAGAGGTGTTATCATAGATTAATAATGTGATCCAGCACAGGCACATATTGCTTGTTAATTCATTTGCTTTTTCTGTAAACTCTACATTTCATTTGTGACACATTTTTAACACCTAATAATAATATAAGCTTATAAAATAGTGGAAGTCTTTATACTCTGTTATTTTATTATGTGGTAACAGTAGCTGGATTTTCATATCTATAAGGTCTAGCTTTGTATATGTTTTATTAAGAGTGCGCAGTATTGAAGTTAAAATTATAACAGTTTGGTGCGATCATATTTCCTTTTCTTTTTCCCTATACTGTTGTTTCCAAAGGCAACGAAACAAGTCTCCTCTTTCAAGCAGTATTTTCCAAGTGTTAATATAGTTATATTGTGCCCAAGTTGTTTCAATTTGCAGATTAAAAAATAGGGTTTTTTTTTTTGAGAGGATATTATGGCTTACTCAGATGTATGTACATACTTAGTTGGTATTGAGGAAGGAAAAGTAAAGAATTGCAAGAGAAAAATATAGGTTTTTGTAAGCCTCTAAACTTGGTTGAGGTTTTGAAACCAAAATTTAAGAGTGATTTTTGAAATAACAGTTTGAGCATAAGTTTTTTACATTGTAGTACCCCCTCCATAAAAATATTTGTAAATGCCATTGGAATAGAAAGACATCCATTCCTGTACAAAATTGTAGTATCAAATATTCACTTTGATAGACTTTAAAAGATAAAAAAAACATTTATCCCTCCAAATCTATGCACTTACCATATGAATAAACACTTTAAGTATCATATTAAGTTAGGTTACTAAAGTGGTACACATTTTATGACACAATGGATCAAGGAAAATGGGGTAGGGGAAAGATAACTATGTATTAGATTTTCCATTGAAGTCTGTATCTCCATCTTGTTTTGTAAATAAGGAAACAGAGTATTAAGTAATGTGTTCAAGAGTACATGTCTAGTAAACAACAAGGTTGTGATTTAAGACTGACCGATCCCAATTAATTCATGATCTCTTGATGTTAACGAGATACTAAGCATAATTCTACTGTATGAACTATTTTTGAAATACATGTTTGGTTTATTTTTCACATTTTATTCCAATAGTTACAAAGTGAATAATACAGCTCGTTTTATGGTATGTTAATATTGTATTAGTATCCAATTGAGATTACAGTAATGGATTGTTTCCTCCTTTAAAATGTAAGATTAATAGTGAAAATGGGGCTAATCTTCTCCTGAATAGGTTTAAGAATTAAATGAGATCATGCACAACAGGAAAAAAAAAAAAGAAAAGCCTCAACAACTTGGAACATAAAAAGAGCTATTGGTAGAAGTGCTGTTGTCAGTATTGGTGCCTTCTAACACTTTCACTGATAACGGAAAATCAGACAATGATTTTGAATGTGGTTGCTCTGCAAATATCTCTAAAGTTTTTATAATGAACTTATTTAAATTATAATGATTACATAATCTTATACACTAATTTTACATAGCTGTAAAATATCTCAATTAAATGCATGTTGATGCTTGGAAGTGTCTTTATTTTTTGATTAAATATTTTTGTTTTTATGCATATGAGCGTATTTCAAAAATTTGTAAAAAATTGACTTTATAAATGTTTTCATGAACTTTTTGCAGACCCCTCATATATAATTCACTTAATTATAGAAAGCATCATCTCTAGGTGTCAAACAGGTAAAAGGAGGATTCAGTTTTACTCATTAGCAAATGGGTGAGAAAAATGAAGGCAGTGGGCAGAAAAAATGCAAGTTAAAGATAAGCCGAAGGCTAACTGGGAGAGAGCACTAAGCAGCAGAATAGATTTGACAGCTGGCCTATGACGAATATGAAATTCTTGTGTATGCTTAAGGTCACACATCTTTATTAAACTGCAGATGTGTGTAAGTAGATATAGATTCCTTTTTTTTTTTTTTTTTGCAGCTGGCCAGTACAGGGATCCGAGCCCTCGACCTTGGTGTTGCAAAGCTGTGCTCTAACGAAGTGAACTAACTAGATATAGATTCTTAAAGTTGTATTGCCATAACTGTTAGTAGTAGTTTATTATAATAAATGTCTCTTTTGCTGAAGTTCAGAGATAAGGATTGTATGCATTTCCATTTAGTGTAATAATATAATCTTGTTCCTACAGTACTACGGGATGACTTCAGGCAAAACCCTTCCGATGTCATGGTGGCAGTAGGGGAGCCTGCAGTAATGGAATGCCAGCCTCCACGAGGCCACCCAGAACCCACCATTTCATGGAAGAAAGACGGCTCTGCCTTGGATGATAAAGACGAGAGAATAACTGTGAGTATTTAATTCAACTGCAAGGAACATTTGTAGGTCTAATTGTACATGTCTTAACCCTGAGAAAGAGAAAAATGGAGTAGATTCTTTAAAGGCTTGCAACAGCTCCTATTTTCAGTTCTTCTTTTTAAATAAATATATTTCAATTCTCCCTGTGTTGATATGAAAATCAGTGAGGAAAATGCATGGCATTTAGTTTAGAGATTAGTAAAATTTATATGTTAATGTCTTAGAGTTAACATTTTTATCTACAACTTAATTATTATCATAACTCAGGGCTTGTAACATCTCCATGTGTTACAGTGAAGACTATTTATTTAAAAAAAAAATCAGTTGTATAGTATGTTTCCAGAGGGTGCCCTAAGTCAGTTCAAGAGTTTTTATGTCTCTTTCTCCCTTTTAATTGGCTTTTCTATTCAATGGAGTTCAAAATTGTTTCTGAAAGATAAAACCTCCTGAAAGATAGTTAATGATGAATTTATCTCATTGCAAAATAAAAGCATGTGGCTAGATTATTGGATTTCAAATTCCTGCTCTGATATACGTAGAGAGTTATGCGATCAGTTGTAAATCATGATGCATTTTCTTCTTGACAGCAGTGGTTGTATGTGACTTCATTGCTTGTTGTCTTGTAAGGTGTTTACTAAAGCATCTCAGTCAACGAGCTCTCATTGATTTTATAATTGTACGATATTCCCTTTCAGTTTCCTTTGTTCTGCACACACTGACATCTGTAATTTGTGAATTCTTTGGCCAAGATTTGAAGTTCCCTAGGAGAACATGTGTGTGAGGAAAAGGTCACTGGTAAATTTGTAGAAGAGCAAAGTTATAACAGAGACCACCTAAAGCTAATAAATGCTTGTGCTATTTCTGAACAACCAGTTAGCAGGTTAGCATGATAATTAAATAGTGAGAAAAGTAGAGANAAAAAAAAAAAAGAAAAGCCTCAACAACTTGGAACATAAAAAGAGCTATTGGTAGAAGTGCTGTTGTCAGTATTGGTGCCTTCTAACACTTTCACTGATAACGGAAAATCAGACAATGATTTTGAATGTGGTTGCTCTGCAAATATCTCTAAAGTTTTTATAATGAACTTATTTAAATTATAATGATTACATAATCTTATACACTAATTTTACATAGCTGTAAAATATCTCAATTAAATGCATGTTGATGCTTGGAAGTGTCTTTATTTTTTGATTAAATATTTTTGTTTTTATGCATATGAGCGTATTTCAAAAATTTGTAAAAAATTGACTTTATAAATGTTTTCATGAACTTTTTGCAGACCCCTCATATATAATTCACTTAATTATAGAAAGCATCATCTCTAGGTGTCAAACAGGTAAAAGGAGGATTCAGTTTTACTCATTAGCAAATGGGTGAGAAAAATGAAGGCAGTGGGCAGAAAAAATGCAAGTTAAAGATAAGCCGAAGGCTAACTGGGAGAGAGCACTAAGCAGCAGAATAGATTTGACAGCTGGCCTATGACGAATATGAAATTCTTGTGTATGCTTAAGGTCACACATCTTTATTAAACTGCAGATGTGTGTAAGTAGATATAGATTCCTTTTTTTTTTTTTTTTTGCAGCTGGCCAGTACAGGGATCCGAGCCCTCGACCTTGGTGTTGCAAAGCTGTGCTCTAACGAAGTGAACTAACTAGATATAGATTCTTAAAGTTGTATTGCCATAACTGTTAGTAGTAGTTTATTATAATAAATGTCTCTTTTGCTGAAGTTCAGAGATAAGGATTGTATGCATTTCCATTTAGTGTAATAATATAATCTTGTTCCTACAGTACTACGGGATGACTTCAGGCAAAACCCTTCCGATGTCATGGTGGCAGTAGGGGAGCCTGCAGTAATGGAATGCCAGCCTCCACGAGGCCACCCAGAACCCACCATTTCATGGAAGAAAGACGGCTCTGCCTTGGATGATAAAGACGAGAGAATAACTGTGAGTATTTAATTCAACTGCAAGGAACATTTGTAGGTCTAATTGTACATGTCTTAACCCTGAGAAAGAGAAAAATGGAGTAGATTCTTTAAAGGCTTGCAACAGCTCCTATTTTCAGTTCTTCTTTTTAAATAAATATATTTCAATTCTCCCTGTGTTGATATGAAAATCAGTGAGGAAAATGCATGGCATTTAGTTTAGAGATTAGTAAAATTTATATGTTAATGTCTTAGAGTTAACATTTTTATCTACAACTTAATTATTATCATAACTCAGGGCTTGTAACATCTCCATGTGTTACAGTGAAGACTATTTATTTAAAAAAAAAATCAGTTGTATAGTATGTTTCCAGAGGGTGCCCTAAGTCAGTTCAAGAGTTTTTATGTCTCTTTCTCCTTTTTAATTGGCTTTTCTATTCAATGGAGTTCAAAATTGTTTCTGAAAGATAAAACCTCCTGAAAGATAGTTAATGATGAATTTATCTCATTGCAAAATAAAAGCATGTGGCTAGATTATTGGATTTCAAATTCCTGCTCTGATATACGTAGAGAGTTATGCGATCAGTTGTAAATCATGATGCATTTTCTTCTTGACAGCAGTGGTTGTATGTGACTTCATTGCTTGTTGTCTTGTAAGGTGTTTACTAAAGCATCTCAGTCAACGAGCTCTCATTGATTTTATAATTGTACGATATTCCCTTTCAGTTTCCTTTGTTCTGCACACACTGACATCTGTAATTTGTGAATTCTTTGGCCAAGATTTGAAGTTCCCTAGGAGAACATGTGTGTGAGGAAAAGGTCACTGGTAAATTTGTAGAAGAGCAAAGTTATAACAGAGACCACCTAAAGCTAATAAATGCTTGTTGTTCTGCACACACTGACATCTGTAATTTGTGAATTCTTTGGCCAAGATTTGAAGTTCCCTACGAGAACATGTGTGTGAGGAAAAGGTCACTGGTAAATTTGTAGAAGAGCAAAGTTATAACAGAGACCACCTAAAGCTAATAAATGCTTGTGCTATTTCTGAACAACCAGTTAGCAGGTTAGCATGATAATTAAATAGTGAGAAAAGTAGAGATGGTTGGGGTAGACAAAGTTTTAGGGACCTTGAAAGAAAATCAAGTATTTTTCCTAGATTGATCTGGAGTGGAATGAGTCTCTAAAGATTTTTATAGTTCTACAAATTGGGTAAGGATGACCCAGCTCTACTTTTAAGAGGTGCTAAAAAGTCAGATGGCAAATTTCTCCACGATTAAGATAAGAATATGTTTTTAAGGCCAAACTTGTTTATGTTGCCCTTAAAAACATATTCTAGATCTTTTAATGACCATTATTTGTAATTCCATTTTCCTATCCTAATGATTCAAACACACTGAAACCATTATTATCCCTGACATCCCTCATGTCTTTCCTGATTACATACTTTTATGTATGTTTAATACCAACAAATGACAAAATTCTCAGCACTGGAGATGCAGCATTAATGCAGCATTAAAGAAAAATGAGTGAGCACTCTTCTGGAGTTTACATTCTACTAGTGTGTATATAGACAAAACCAAAATAAATATGTATAATATACAGTATGTTAAACTATAACAAGTCATATAAAATAGTGAAGGGGGGACTGAAATTTTAAATAGGCCAATCAGAGAATGCCTCACATAAAAACCTGAAAGCACTGAGGGAAGGAACAATACAAGTATCTGGGAAAAGGGTGTTCTAGGCAGACAAAGCAGTACATTCAAAGACCCTAAGGTGGGGCATACCTAATACATTCACTAAAGAGCAAAGAGTCAGTGTGGGTTGAACAGAGTGAGCAAAGGAGAGATTTGTGGGAGATAGTGTCAGGGGGCAACCAGTAGCCAGACTGTGTAGGTTCTTACAGACATTGTAAATACTTTGGCTTTTCCTGAGTGACATGGGAAGCATCAGAGATTTCTCAGAATCCTCACTGAAGAGTGGCAATGGCAGAAGCAGCGAGACCAGCTGGGAACTTTTGCAGTACTCCAGGCGAGAGATAAATGCTGGTTTGAAGCAGTCTGTTAGGAGGGGAGGTAGTGAGCAGTGGTTAGATTCTGGGTAAACTGTAAAGCAGTAGCCAGCAGAATTTGCTAACAGATTGGATGTGGCTTGTGAGAAAAATTGAGGAGTCGAGGATTACCTTAACAGATTGGCCTGAGTTACTGAAAAGATAGGGATGCCGAGAACAGATTACAGAAGGAGAAGATTTGGGGTGGGAAGTATCAGGAGCTCAGTCTTAGACATGGTAATTTTGAAATGCTTATTAGACATCTTAGTATAAATGTCAAATAGGCAGTTGGATATATGAGTCATAAATTCAGAGTTGAGGTTGAGGCTGGAGGAAAAATTAAGTTGCGGTAGACAAACAAGTCCTCATTATTTGTAGTTCTCTTCTCCTTCTGGGCAGATGAAAAGACTCCGCTTCCTAGCTTCCTTGCTGCTGGGCAAGGGAAGACCTATTTGACTGTTTCAGCTTCATGGGTTGTGAGTGGAAGTTAAAGAAATTAAATACTTGTACTGGAGTGAGCCCTGAGTATTCTCTCTCTTTACTGCTATGCAGCCAAGGAAGCCACATGTTCTAGGTAGTGAAGTTACAACATACATGCAGGACACCCCAAGAGCCTGAGTCCCTGAGTGATGTGAGCAAAACTTTCCACCCCACAACTCTGTCTTCCCATAATGGACATGGAGAATGAATGAGAAATAAATCTTTGTTGTGTTAAGTCACTGAGAATTTCTTACCACTGCACAACCTAGCCTATCCTGATGAATATGGGAGTTGTCAGTGTGTGTAAGTTATTTAAAAAGAGGAGACTGAAATCACCAAGACAGTGATTATAGAGAGAAAGGAAAAGAGGTCCAATGCTTAGCTATCAGGAAGAGGAGGCAGAAAGAACAGTGGAAACTGAGAGGGAGCAGTCAATGAGAAGGGAAAACCAGAGGGCAGCCTAGTAAAGACTGTTTTAAGGAGGTGGCAGTGACTGAGTGGATTGCAGCTGGTAGATCA